AGACTGCGGGCTGCGGCCCCTGTTTGAGAAGAAGTCGCGGGAAGACAAAACGGAGCAGGAGCTTCTGGAGTCCTACATCGACGGGCGCATCGTGGAGGGCTGGGACGCCGAGATGGGCCTGGCGCCCTGGTGCGTCCCTCACCCCAGCGGCCTTCACTGGGCCGGAGCCCCCCGCTCCCAGGCCCCCCCGCCCTGGAAGCCCTCTCCCCTCGCAGGCCTGGGCTCCAGGGGTGAAGGACCCGAACCCAGCGCCTCCGCGGCTCTCACAGCAGCCTTTTGAGACTGGGCTGATTAGTTCTCATAAGCACGAGGCATAGGGGAGGCCCAGGAGTTTAAGTGACGCTGATAATAGACAGCTCTGGGGTCGGCAGAACTGGGTTCAAGTCCAGGGCAGCACCTGACCCCAGAGCTGGGCTAAGCCGCACAGCTCCTGACTGGAGGAAGCTGGGGAGGGGTGCACACCACAGGGGGAGCCCCTCGCTGTCACCTGGATGCCCCTAATCCCCAAATGTGGGCAGGTCAAGCTGGGGTCTGGGCACAGCAGGCAGTTCTGTCCAGTTGTTAAAAATGGGACTTTCTACTTCTAGGGCCAGTGGAGGGGCAGCTCCCCAGCTCTAATGCTTCTCCTTTTCCCTCCCAGGCAGGTGATGCTTTTTCGGAAGAGTCCCCAGGAGCTGCTGTGCGGAGGCAGCCTCATCAGTGACCGCTGGGTCCTCACTGCTGCCCACTGTCTCCTGTACCCACCTTGGGACAAGAACTTCACTGAGAACGACCTTCTGGTGCGCATTGGCAAGCATTCCCGCACCAGGTACAGGACTGGGGGCCCAGGGGTCTCAGCTCCAGCGTGACGTGGTGGGGGCTCTGGTGCTCTGAGGCACGTGGCACACATCTGTCCATCTCCCACAGTGGAAAACCCAGCAGTCTCTGCCACAGAGTCCTTTTGGCCACATCAACCTAGGCTTGGAGCTGGGGTCAGAGAAACAAAGAGCAAAATCCTGGCCTGTCCCTCCTTCCCTCCAGACACCAGGACATGGCCGGGGTGTGACTTCGGAAAAGAGGCTCTTTGGACCAGAGCCTACAGCCTATGTCTCTCTTCCATCTGTCTAGGCTGTTTGACAACAAAGCCCAGTGTAGCTACAGGCCAGGAAGAAGCTGCCTGGGAGCTGCCAAATGCCGCCTCGCTAATGGCCCGCTGGTCCCTGACTCTCAGACCTTGAGGGCAGGCAGTTTCCTTCCTCAGGGAACCGCTGCCTTTCACTGAGTGGCTCATGGCCTCTCCGATTCTCTGTTGGGGTCTGCGCAGGTATGAGCGAGGCATGGAAAAGATCTCCATGCTGGAAAAGATCTACATCCATCCCAGGTACAACTGGAGGGATCTCCTGGACCGTGACATCGCCCTGCTGAAGCTCAAGAGGCCCATTACCTTCAGCAACTACATCCACCCCGTGTGCCTGCCCGACAAGAAGACGGCAGTCAGGTGGGGCAGCCAGGGCGTGGTTAGCTGAGGAGTCTGGGCCGCTGGGGGGCTTGATGAACCCCGGTAGGCCTTGCAGAAGGTCCTTCCCTTTTCCAGGCCTCAATTTCTTGGAACAAACCCAAAAGTTCTTTCTGCACAGGTGTTTGAGATTCAGGTCTCCAAGGGATGGCATTGGGGCCAGAGGCTCCTGGCGGGGCCGGTTCTCACCGGGTCCATCTCCCTTCCTCAAAGTTTGCTCCAGGATGGACACAAAGGGCGGGTGACCGGCTGGGGCAACCTGAAGGAGACGTGGACAGCCAGTACCGCAGAGGTGCAGCCCAGCGTCCTGCAGGTGGTGAATGTGCCCATCGTGGAGCGTCCGGTCTGCAAGGCCTCCACCCGCATCCGCATCACTGACAACATGTTCTGTGCTGGCAAGTCCCCCGGGTGTGGCTCAGCAGGAGGGGCAGTGGGGCCTTGGGGTTGGGGGAATGGAGACATGTTAGGAGCACAGACCTGTTCAAGTCCTCGCACCAGTCACAAGCCATATGACTGGGAAAAGTGTAACCTCTTGCATGCTCAGTTTCTTCCTCTATAAAATGGAGATAAAAGCCTCTGTTCCAGAAGGTTGTGCGAGGGTTCGATGACGTAGTGTATGCAAAGTGTTAGGCGTGGAGCTGGTCACTGGTTAAGTTGTCAGTATATGTGAGCCCAGATAGCAGTAGCAAGAGGCCTTGGGGGGCAGGGGCAAGCCATTTATTTTTTCAGTCATTCAACAGATATTTATTGAGTGCCTGCTATGATCCATGAAGTATTCCAGAGTATATAACAAGGACTCAAACAAACAATGCCTGCATCTTCAGAGAGCTTTCCTAGGAGGAGGGAGTGTCAGTAAACAGATCTAGAATAGCAATCCCTGGTAGAAAGACAAATTAAGCAGAGTAAAGTAAGGGGGAGAGACATGGGGACAAGGGCGAAGGCTAGAGAAGGCCCCTCTGAGGTAATATTTGGGCAGAGACCAGAAGAAGTGGAGTGAGTCATCTAGGGGAAGTGTACTGCAGGCTGAGGGGAGACAGCAGGTGCAAAGGCCCTGAGGTAGAAACATGCTTGGTGTGTCTGAGGACGAACAGGGAGGCCTGAGTGGCTGGACTTCAGTAGACATAGGAAGAACAGCAGTAGATGAGGGGAGAGAGGTGGGCAGGCAGAGATGGGCACTTCCATAGGGGCCTGGGAGGATTTCATCTTTTATTGAGATAAGAAGTGATTGGAGGGTTTGGGGCAGGTGAATAAATGGTCTAACTTAATTTAAAAAAATTTTAAATTTTAGTGTAATTTCAGACTCACAGAAAAGTTGCAAAAATAATACAAAGAATTCCTGTATACCATCATTGAAATTCTGCCACCCCCACTTTGTACACACACACACAAACATACACACACACAGTTTGAAAGGAAATTGTATATATGGTGATTTTTTACCCATCTAATTGAGTATTTCCAAAAAACAAGAATGTTCTTACATAACCACAGTATAATTACTAAACCAGAAAATTATGATGACAGTACCGTTATCTAATCTGTAGACATTGTTCAAGTGTTTTCTAATGTCCTACTTGCTAATGTCTTTTATAACAAAAAACAAAAAATGCTTTCAACTGGGATCTAACCTAGGATTATTCACTGTATTTAGTTGTGAATCTTTGTCTTCCATGACCTTGACATATCTGATGAGCACAGGCCAGTGAATCTATAGACTGGCCCTCCACTGGGTTTGTCTCAGGTTTCCTCATGACCAGATTCAGGCTAAGTGATGCTGAACCCTCACTGTGTCCTGTTAGCTGCCATGTAATGTCTTTATGTCTCATAACCACTGAGATGAACTCTGACCTCTTGGTTAAGGTGGTGTCTGCCTCTTCCAGGTTTCTCACTGTAAAGTTCTGTTTTTCTCTTTGTAATTAATAAATATCTTGTGGGGAGAAACTTTGATACTGTCTGTCCTGCTTCTCACCCCATTGTTCTCCCAACTGTGGTAGCGGCCAAATGGTGCTTTTCTGATTGTCATTTCTGCATTTATTAGTTTTTATGGTAGGGAAGACCTTTTCTTTCATTCCATTAGTGTGGATTCATGGGGCCTTTCTTTATTTTAAGGGTTATAACTTGTTACTGTCATTATTTATTTTGATGTTCAAAGTCTCTGCAACCTGGCTTCTGTGACTTTTGGAGAGGTCCCTGTCTTGCTCTGAGTAGTTTCTTACTCGTGGCACAGCAAGATGTTCCTGGTTCATCCTACTTTCCTTATAGCAGAGAATGGTATTTAGAAACCAGTATCTGGGTGGTAGGTGTGCACATTGCTACAGAGGTCACTGTGTCCAGGTCCTCTCAGCAGGAAGCACTAGAATGTGTATTATGAACATACTAACATCTATATCTACTGTCCTTTCTATCTATCTGTTTGTCAGCCTAAACTGTGAGTTCAGACTGAAGCCTCTCCTTGCAACCCAACAGGATGAATTTTAGCTTCTTCCTTTCCACATTTATAACTTTGTTGACAGTGAGAAACCTGCCACTCATTTTCCATATTATCTTTGCTTATTTGATCAATACTAGAATATACAGTTTCAGAATTAATTCATCCGTAGCTGTGAAAAACAATCCTACTAACTAGAGTTCAGCACTTCTTCAGTTGTTTCTGTCCTTAGCCTGAGGATATATCATTGAAATCCTGTGTCCGAGAGTAACTTGGATTAGTTCTTGCTCGCACCACCCCAACCTCTGTGTTATTATTTAAAATACAATTAAGGCTCAATTGTTTCTGATCGTATTTCATTTGGGAGCCCTCCTCCCATCTTTGTTGTTTTTATTTGTGTACTTCTGGAATATTAACATGCTTATAAAACTCAGACATTTTGAAACAGGTACTCAGAGAACTGACACTCCCCTTTCCCTCCTATCCTGTTCCCACCCCCATCCTTTCCACCCCATTTCCATCCAGGCCCTATAATTAACCAGTCTCAGTAGCTTATAGTTTATTCTTCCAGTGTTTCTTTTTGCACAAATGAGCAGATATATGTATATTTTCTTATTTCCTTTTTCTTACACACAGGGCAGCATACTATAGATATTCTCCTGTACTTTGCTTTTTTTCAGTTTATGTTGCCTGGCAATTCATTCCATATTGGTTATAGTTTTTCCTTATTAAAAAAATTTTTTTTAATAGCCACATTATATTCCATTATGTGGATATATCCATAGTTTATTCAATTATTTCTTGCATTTAGATTTGTTTCCAATTGCACGTTTTCATATGCTTAATTACCATTTTTATACCATTTTTGGGGGAATTGTCTGTTCATTTCTTTTGCCTACTTTTGTCCCTTTCCCAGCTATTTTTAAGAGTTCTTTACCTATTAGTGATATTAGGCCTTTATTTGTGATACATGTTGCAAGTATTTCCCTGCACTGTTAGTTTTTTTTTTTAAATCCTCAACGGAGGATATGTTTATCGATTTTTAGAGGGATGAAGGGAAGAGAGAGACAGAGAAACATCGATCAGTTGCGTCTTGTACATGCCCGAACTGGGGATCGAATCTGCAACCTAGGTGTGTGCCCACCAGGAATCAAACTCGCAACCTTTTGGTGTAGGGGACGATCCTCCAACCGAGCCACCCGGCCAGGGCCCACTTTGTTAGTTTAACCTTTATAATTTTTTTGCCACTCAAAAATTTTTATGTAGTAAAATTTATTGAGTTAGAAAAAACCTTCTTTATGCTCAGGTCATAGAGAAATGCACGTGTTCTTCCAGTACTTGGTTTCGTTTTTCTGCACTTAGATCTCTGAGTCGTATGGACTTTATGTCTGTGTATGATGCAAGGTATGGATCGAACTCATCTGTTTCCAAATGGTTCACCAGCTGTCCGCACCATTTACTAAAAATTCTATCTTTGAAATCACCTTTGTCACATACTAGATTTCTAGGTGCTTAAGTCTCTTTCTATCCTAAGACATTCAATTTAGAATAGAAACAGACTCCTGGTCTGTTGTTCATTATGTTAAAGCACTGTCTTGTTTTAATTATAGAGGCTTTAGAGTATGTTTTAACATCTGGTAGGGCTTGTTCTCTCAGTTTATCTTTTCCAGAGTTTTCCTGGAAATTCTTGTGTATTTGTTTTTCCATGTGAACTTTGGTATCAGCTTGTCTAGCTCCATTAAAAAGTTTGTCAGTGTTTTTATTGGGATTATGTTAAGTTTATAAATTAATTTAGGGAGAACTGACATCTTTTTACTGTTGAGTTATTTTATCCAAGGACAAAAAATGTCTCCCCATTTGTCCAGGTCTATATTGTGCCTTTCTATAGTGATGCAATGTATTATGACTTTTCTCCTTGGCACCTTATTTTATATATTTGTGGGGTTTTTCTCTTAATTTTCTTGAGTAAATTAGCTAGTGGTTGCAGAAATAAACAAAAGATACCTAGGAATTTGACTTATTAGGCTTATTGTTTTTCAGTTCTGTACCTCATTAATTTTTGCTTTTACCTTTTCAAAATTTTTTTATGCTTTTTTTGGGGGGTTTACTTTGTTCTCTGTCTAGCTTTTTGAGCTGACAATTTGGTTAATTTACTTTTGATCTTTAATTTTTATTGAGTAGGACTGTGCATTTTTCTTCTTTATAGAAAACACTGTCGTGTTTTTAGTTTTTAGAAATTCTGTAATTTCAGCGTGTGTTTCCCTTTCACCTAAGAGGTGTTTAATAGGTGGTTTTTAAATTTCAGGTGGGAGGGGCCTTTTGTATTTTGACTTTGTTAATAATTATTTTGACTTTTGCTGCATTACAGTCTGAGAGTATTGTTTGTAATATTTCTACTTTATGGAACTGAATTTTTTTTTCTGAGACAGCTGTTGGATTAATCCCTGTGAATGCTACACGTGCTTGAGGTGTGTCGGTTAATGTATATTCATAAATGTACCTTATTGCTTGTTATTAGATCATTTATATCATTTTCAGTTCATTTGATCCGTCTTGTACTGAGTTTGGTGTGTTAAATTCTATTATAAAAGTATTTGCCTGTCTCCTTGCGTTGCTTATAGTTTTTTTACTTTATAAATGTGGTTGCTGTGTTATTTGGTGCCGATATTCATAACTATTATTTATTCATTGTAAATTGTGGCTTTTAGCTTTAAATGCATCCTTCTTTATTTTCAATTTTAGGACTACTACCCGTTCTCTTTTTGTTTCCACTGGCCTGATATACCTTTGCCCATCTTTTTAATTTTAGCTTTTATGAATCACTTTGTTATATGTAGCATAGCTGAGTCTTGCTTTGTGAGTCAAATTAAAACCTTTTTTTTCGTAATGAGTTAAGCCCCTTCATATATGTTGATATGATTGAATTAGTATTAAGTCATTATTTTGTAATATTTACAGGTATTATGTTTCATTTGCTGTGTTTTTTCCTATGTGATCTTTTAAGAAAATCTGTTTAGGAAGGTTTGCATCTTTGTTCCATTTTCTTTGGACTTACACCTTTTTTGAAATGCCCTTTAGTTCCTTTTCTTATATAACCTTTTAATTGTAACTCCCACCCATTGGCATCTGTCAGTTT